AAATCCACAGATAAAATACAGACAATATGTTCTTGTACTGCAGACCAGTATTACCAGTATCAGCATCAATAAGTTGACCATTAACCATTCAAGTTCAATGGTACAATGTTCAGTTCTTGGGTATAATATGACAGATAAATGATAATGTTGTGCATCAACGTGACCAGCAAAGGCATCATTGTTGAGCTGGCATGATCCCCAGCATGACGTCACTCGATAGGACCAGTTTGGGATATGGGCAGATGGGAGATAGGCCCACTCATGCTGCCCCTAAGTCTCCCCCAGCAGCTTGTAGATATTACACTCCATGTGGGATGATTAATAGGTCCTGAGGAGCATGTCGTGCTTAGTTTCAACTGGGGTAGAGACTACTCAGGCACCAATGAAGTAGCTGATGATGAATGCAAATGCGTGCGTTCCGTCACACCTACAAGCTCACGCAGTCAGATTTAGCCCCTCGGGTGACTGATGGCGCTTGTAACTGTGGTTCAGTATTTACTCTGCTTGGTCAAATTGGGAGTCCTCACTGTGACCCAGATAAGCTGTTTGGTTTAAGAGTTGCTATAATGATTTATTATATTTCCATGATAGGTACATTGTTTTGGTCGTTACTGCTCTAGCTTAGTCTGATCATCCCTCTTCCTCTCAGTCCTGTGAGACAACCTGCACTGTGAAATGACCTAGTTTGTCCTGGCCAGTCGAACAGCAGGTTAACTTGTGACTCAAACTTGTGTGTGGCGTCAGTGCCATAAAAAGACGGTGTCATAAATGATTACATATGTTGTTCTCTGTGTCTAATCTGTTTCCTTTTGCTCTAAATTACATTTAAAGCAACAACGTAATGAAAAGGATCTTTTACCCTAATGTCTTGGTGAATTGTAGATATTTATACAGTTTTGTCATTTATGTGCTCTGTGAACCTTCATTCCTTTTGTTGTAACAATTCTTTGCTTTTATTGTGAACTAATCCGTACATATCTTACTTTGTCTCTTTTAGGTGAGCCACGCAAGTTTGACCCAAACTTCAGAGGGCCGGTTCATAACAGGTATGACATAAACTTAACTTTTCCCCCCCTGCATTACAGATATGTTCATAAATACATTTATACAAGGTATTTTTTTCATCACCCAGTGAGGATAGAATTGTATCCACTTGAATTGTTTTAAACTGTAAGCAGAAATCTTACACACCAATAGTATGTTTTTTGTAATTTGAAAGAACTGACCCCTTGACTACTAGTCATTATCTTTCAATGTCTGATTCTAATATGTGTATTGATTTTTACCCATTGTATAATCTTTTTGGCATACATGCCTGTGACGCATCTGATGGATTGATTGTTTGTCATGTTACATAAAAACAGTTTGAGTTGTTGGCAACTCTCCCCACTCTACCACACGGATCAATTGCCGTATGTCAAGCTGATGGCTGGACGTAGCATAATAACACACATTACCAGCCAGATAAACCCAAAGCAGATGTTGTTCACACATCAGGGGGGCTATTACAGGGAGAAAATGAAAAAACCCATTTGTCAATCAGCAGCACATTAGCAGTTTTCCTGGTGAACTGCAGGCTGCTACGTGGAGGACACCTCCACATGTGTCATAACTAGATATTCTTTGTTTTGATTTAATTTCAAATG